ATACATTAAAGACTGGTTCATCCCAAAGATCCAGTCCCCCAGCACAAACAGAGTAATGTTGTGTATGCTGTTCAGTGTCAGGATGGTGATCAGTCTTACATCGGGGAAACTAAACAGCCACTGGCCAAAAGGATGGCCCAGCACAGAAGATCAACATCATCAGGCCAGGACTCTGCGGTCTACACTCATCTCCAGGCCAGCGGTCACTCTTTCAGGGATGAAGATGTTCACATCCTGGACAGAGAGGAACGATGGTTTGAGAGAGGAGTAAAGGAGGCCATCTTTGTGAAAAGAAACCGTCCATCGTTAAACAGGGGTGGAGGCCTACGGGTTCAACTGTCCCCCTCTTACAATGCTGTGATTGCTAGTATCACTCAGCCCTCTGTGAACAGTAAACAGCCATCAGTGTGCTAATGATCCATTGTTAGGCTGATGGTCCTTCTTGATCATGTGATCAGCTGGTTTTGGTTGTCAGCAGCAAAACTGGTTGATCCACTCTGTGAAGGTGCTATTTAAGAGACTGAGCTGAATACAGCACCTCAGACTGAGGAAGTCTCTTGGATGAGAGACGAAACGTTTCTACATTTTTTTGTTGATTTATTTTGTTTTGTTTTTTTTGAATGTCCAGAGGACCAGATTTAACTTTTTTTAGATAATTTTCTTGTGTTATACCATTGTTTGTAGAGAGGTTTAATTTCCTCTATGAAGAGCTTGAACATTCCTTGATAAACTGAGTACACCACACAGCTGAGTTTGTGTTTTATCTCTAAGATTAACAAATTTCTGTCTGAAGGCACCTGGTTGTTGTTTCGCGAAAGTAGATCTGTCGTGAAAAACAATAAATCAATTAATTGCATGATAAATTAAAACTATCAACCTCATTTTCATTTATCGACAAAAGGCTCAACTCCGGTGCTCTTCACTGACCCCTCCCTTACTCTTTTCTCTCTTTAAAATCTGTTGTTTGTTTTGTCCAAAGTCGCGTTTTTGGATCGCTACAAGCAGCTAAGTTGAGAAGCTAAGCTATGAGCTAAGCTAACAAGCCGACCTCAGGAAAAAAACCCTCCGTCTTGTCGAAGCTCCAAAATTCACGGTTGAAACCCGTGCCTTCGTGTAAAAAGTTGTTTTTCTCTGCAAAAAGAAGCTGAAAACTTGTGTACCGATTTTCTTATTAAAAACTTTGTGTGAAAAATGCTATGCTAAAGAGCTCAAACCACACCGAGCGTCCAACATTTTGAGAACCCAAAAACATGAAGGAGAGACAGCTCATGTCACGTCAAGGGGCCTCCCTCCCATTTTCATAAAGAGACACGCAGCTTGCTCCCTCACTATCCATCCTTCGGTTCACACAGTCTTATACTGACATCTGGTGGTCAAAAAAAGTATTACATGTAAAACTAATTAACCAACATTCCTTCATAATTAATTAGTTATTCTTAATTAATTAATTAGTAATTATTGTCAAATTTCAAACAGTTTTATTGTTTATCGCAATAATTTCTGAGACAATTAATCACCCAGCAACATTTGTTATCGTGACAGGCCTAAGCGAAATAATTGAGATTTTCAGATCCTCAATTGGACGATTGGGAATCTACACCAGCATACTGATGAATAACGCCCATGTGTGTCCCGTTTTCCTCAGATGCTCCTAAAGACACCTCAGCATCCATCAGTTCATCAGGTGTGGTGTCAGCAGGTAGCTGGGTGGAGCTGAGCTGCTCCAGCAGAGCCAAGCCTCCTGTAAGAACCTTCACCTGGTTCAGGATCTGTAAAGATGGACCTGTCAACGTTTCTGTGGGTCAGGTTTACAGGTTCAACGCCTCTGCTGATGGACAGTTTTACTGTGTGGCCACAAATGATCTGGGTAATGGCTCATCATCAGTGATCCTTCTCAGTCTTGAAGGTAAATTGTTTCCTGCTCTGACTTTAGGAACCGCCTCTGTTCGGCTGTGAATACTTACAGCTTATTTCTTGCTAGGAGAGCTGTCGAATGAGCTTCTGTGGGTGGTGATTCTAGTAGGAGTCATCACGCTCATCGTCCTGGCTGTTCTTATTTGGTGAGTAACAGAAATTAAAGCATTGAAAATAGTCTGATAGATTGCAGAGAAGATCCAGAACCTCAGATTAAATCAAATCTGAGATTTTCCAGGCATCTTGCGCATGTGGTTTTATCGATCTTCTAATGTTTGCTTCATGCCAGTGTTTGCCTTTTATCGATGTCTTCCAGGTGCTTTAAGTCCAAACGTCGAGCTCCACAGCAGACTCAGGTAGGTAAAGGTCGAACAGTGATTCGATCTGAAGATTTGTGGCAGCATCAAGACGGAAGTGAGAATTTTGTTTTTTTTCCCCTCACAGAATCAAACAGATGAGAAGGTTGCTGCTCAAAACGTAGCTGATAAAACAGATGAACTCCATTATGGAGAAGTGACGTTCATCAAGAACAGTAACAAAGTGCCCTCCGTCTCAGTGGAGGACAGGGAACATGTGGAGGTGGTGTACGATGCGGTCAAAGTGTCCAAACCTGAAAACAGTTCAACACAGGCTGCAGACAGTCCAGAGGATCTCTACGCTCACGTGAAGAAAATCTAACTTCTGTTCTGTGATTATTCACTTTGTGCTTCAAGAAGATGGTTGCTCGTGTTGCAAACAGAAACAATTTAAACCTCCTTTGTAAATTGTGACATTATGTCACTGTGTTTCAAATGATCACAACTGTCTGGGTCTCCTTAGCTGTGGTATTGCCCCATTTTGTTTCAGATGGGTCAGTCTTTGGGAACTTTGGAGTAGTTTCTCCAAATTAACTTTCACAACATTTAGATCAGGTTTCATCACAAAAAAAAAAAACGAAACTGTCCAGATGACCTGACTGAAAAATGTTGGATTGTATACCTGGATAATTGAGCATGGACTTTGTTGTTTTCAACCAGTTTGACACGACTGCCAACAAGAAAGAGGGCCGGCAACGGAGGAGGGGCGTACCAAAGAGACCATCTTATCACAAGCAGAACTGGTTTGTTCCACTTTGGAGTAAGCTGTTGGGGGAAGAATCAGTTTTGTTGTGTGTTTCTTTGACTGATGAAGCCTTCTGGATAGAAGGCAAGGGGCAGCACGGTGGCGCAACTGGTAGAGCTGCTGCCTCTCGGCGAGCAGGTCCCTGGTTCAAACCCCGGTCCATGGGCCTTTCTGGGTGGAGTTTGCATGTTCTCTCCGTGCGTGGGTTTTCTCCGGGTACTCCGGTTTCCTCCCACAGACCAAAAACATGCATGTTAGGCTGATTGGTAACTCTAAATTGTCCCTAGGTGTGAGTGAGAGAGTGAATGGTTGTTTGTCTCGTTTGTCTCTATGTGTCCCTGTGATGGACTTGCGACCCGTCCAGGGTGTACCCCGCCCCTCGCACAGTGATTGCTGGACATGGGCACCAGCGACCCCCGTGACCCAAAATGGAATAAGCGGGTAAAGATAATGGATGGATGGATGGATTGAAGGCGAAACGTTTCAGCACAAAGAAAGAAACTGTCCAGATGACCTGACTGAAAAATGTTGGATTTAGATCAGGTCTTACCTGTCACTCAATTATTATGCCTTTTATTGCAGTTCGACCCAAAATCCTGTCTTAATGAGATGTCCCAGACATTTCATTAGGAATAATTAAAATAAAGCGTTTGATAGAGTGCCAAAAGTAGAACTGTGGAGAGGAAGTCAGGTGAGGCAGTATGTACGGGTAGTGCAGGAAATGTACAAGGACAGCGATACGGTGTCCTGATGCGATGAAGAAGAGATAGATGGGTTCAAGGTCGGCTCTGAGCCCCTTCCTGTTTGCGGTGGTGAAGGACGGGTCAACAGGTGAGTTAGTTTAAAGCTTTGGAGAACAGTCAGCCATGCAGAGAGTCAATACGTTACACGTACAGAAATTAGTTTTATTAAAAGTCATGGGTGGCTGGGGGGGCTCAAACCCCTCCTCCCTCTTGCGCACTGGCCCTGTGTTTTCCAGACCTGAACACAGGCTGTTAACAGTCTCACAGAAAAGAAAATTAATCTCCAAGTTTCCCTGATAAGATCTCCAGCCAGCTGCTGGATGGAATATGTCGTTCCCTCGTGCCAATCTGGGGTGATGAAAATGTTGCTCTAGTCCAGCAAGTTTAAAAAACACGCTTGGACTCAGCACTCAATCAAAGTTTGACAGCACCAAAAGATAATATTTTATCTAAATATGATAATCGTATCCTGAGAATGTGGTTTTTGAGACGCTTAATGCTCTGTCACGGCAGACGCAAAACAGCAAACCAGTTTTTCCTTTGATCCACAATGAATCTAAATTTTCTATTAGTGCTTTTTTTCGTTTGCATAATAGTTCTAGATCATACGATTTACAGGCAATAATTAATTGATAATTACTATAAATAACCAATGTCATTTTCTACTTCTTAAATGTTTGATTCATTCTACCTGTTGCAGCTGTAAACATAACAATTCTTGGCTTTTTGATTTTATTTGTCTCATACTTTCAGGGAGCTGGTGAAAAAAGACAAAGTAAAAATAAATTAATAAGTAAATAAATAAAACAGCCTTATCCTTTACCCAGCTTGGTTCAAACTTTGTCCTCTTTTCATTTCCCCACATTCTCTTAGAGCGAGTTGTTCTGGAAGGACGGGAGGATGACACGAACTTACGTGTTGCTTTTCATTTGAGACAAACAAAAACCAACAAACAGAATGCTTCTCTCACCTGTTAACTTTCCACTTTCAAGTCAGTTTGCGCAAAAAAAAAAATTGTAATTTTTATTATGATCTGTTAGAAAAAATACAAAAAAACCCTCTAACTCTGTGTGTACAAATCACCGTTGAATATGTTTGTCTGCATGTTGAAAGCTACACTTGAACCAAACAAGAAGAAAATTCATAAAATGTAAATATTGAATGTAATTGTTTTTAAATCAGTGAACTCTTCCTATCTCTTGTGTTGGAAGGAGAACTTTTAATGAGAGTCTATGGGCAAAGTTTCTTGCGCCCCCAGGGTGGAAATATGTCATCAATCCGAGATGTTTTTGAGAGAAACAGCTTTACTTGTCATTTTCTATAAAATATATATCTTACACAACAAAAACAACAAAAAAAACATATATTTTGAAATATATATTATTTTATTATTTCATTTTTTTAAGTCGTCAAGGTAATATGGTGAGTGGTTTGAGTGGTGGGGCGGCACCCTAGTGCCCTCTATTGACCAGCCGCCACTGGTCTACTGGGACAAACCTGGATAACCAGCACACAGTCGTTGTGCTGAAAACTTCTGTGATACTTCTGTATCCATCTATCAGCATCCTGACCAAACTCCCTGGAGAACCATGTTTTACCTGTACACAACTCCCTCTCCCTGAATTGCTGCAGCATGAGGGCTCTTTAGCACCTTATGGATTCGGCGGTGTGTGCAGATACGTGTTCAACCACGAGAGAGGCGAGCTCAGTCGGTGTCAACGTAACCCACCTGATAAGGGTTATATATATATTTGACTTTCTGATGTTATTTGCATTACATTAAAAGTACCTGGTACAACTGTGTGTTAATTCATGGGTAAAATACAGTAAAACTGTTTTTATGCAACTCGTGAATCTAAATAATCATAAATAATATGTCAGCAACAACAACAAAAAAGAAACTGTCCAGATGACCTGACTGAACTTTGTTGGACCTGGATTATTGAGCATGAACTTTGATGTTTTGAACCACTTTGGCTGCCTCAGAGGAGCCGACGGGGGAGAGGGCGGGCTCCAGAAACCATTTTATCACCAGCAAACTGTTTGGCCCACATGTGAGTGAGCTGCTTGTGGGACTGAGTTTTTTGTGGCTCCTCAGACTGATGAAGTCCTTTGGATGAATGATGAAACGTCTCAAAAAAAAAAAAAAAGAAAGTCGACCGACTTACAGAACAGAGAAGTTCTGCAGCTGGTTTGTTGCAGCTCTGCTGGACCTCAAGTTCTCTTCAATTTGTTCTTGTTGCTCCTGTGGAACCCGTTGGTAAGCAGTTCGGACATTTATTCATTCTTGATCAAGCTCAGTGTTTTGTTGCCACACCACATTTTTGATTTAAGCTACATTATAAGTGACGGTAGGCAGATTTAGACCAGTTTTAATTGATTATGATTTATTATCATCAGGATTAGTTTTTAGTGGTTAATTTGTTGTTTCACACTAAGAAGGGTGCATCCAACCTCCCGCCTGGGATCTTTCTGTGATTTGATTTTCTTTTTCACAGTAAAAAGGATCTGAATGCTTCATTTGATTTTACTTTTTGTCGTTGACCTTGCTCAGACGTGTGTTTAACATCAGGTCACCAGAGGATTCTGAGAGCAGCGTCACAAACTTCAGCTGTTTTTCAAAC